ATGGAGAGAAAATGGCATATGTAAGCAAGTTCTAATGGGCTGAATCAATGGTAGAAGACCCAGAGGCCGCCCTAGATATCGATGGATGGACACTGTAAAATCCGATCTAGCAAAGATTGCATCAGAAACAGAACTAGCAGGAAGTGAAAATAGAGAGAAGTGGCAAGAAATAGTGGAAGCAGCAAAGGCCCTTAATGGGCTATAAAAGCTTAAAAAAAAATTGTGTAGTATAAACAAACACATAAATAATTGATATCTACTGTACATTTTGATGTTGTAAATCTATTTTTTTTTTGCAAATAAATTTACAATTATGTCTATATCGATAAGTTTTGATATATCTTTTCTAAATTTATAAAATGGAGGTAACCATAAATCTCTCTTGAATCATTAAGGTTTGCAGCCATGTTTTAAATCGTCGCATTACCGAAAAAATCGGGATTTTATTGACTTTGTGTATATCTGACGATGAATTTTTAATTTCAAACTGGTCATACTTTTACATAGTATACAGTAATACTCCAAGCTAAGCATTTATTTATTTCTATACACAAAATATTTGTTAATTTATTTATATATTAATTATTTTATGGTCTATTCTGAGTTAAAATTATTTATCAGTTATTTACTTATTTTTGTTGAGAATTTATAGAAAAACACGTACATTTTTTTATAAGAATACATTATGGTTTAGCAATATTGAAAAATTAATAAAGAACAAATAAATATTTTGAAGGAACGTAAATTTTCTGTGGAGTAGCTTAAACATTTTCTGAGGAGCTTCAGTCCCCAAGTCCCCCCCCAATATCCGACTATTTTTATAATAAAAGGTTGGTTTGAACGATTTACTGATAAAATTTTAAACAAGCTTTCATCAATACATTTCAAACTTACTTTTTGTCAAACCTTTATATTTATAGTTTAATTATAATTTAAAATTATTACTATAATATTATATGAAAGTCATTATATTTTAAATTAATTATTATAAAAACCAATGGTTTACTAATTCATCTATTTAAATAAATTACATCTTTATAAGACGTAAAATATGTATCAGAATATTTATTGTTTATTTTGATAAATTTAATGCACAGGTTTATAATAATTTCGGTTTCCAATATTAGCTCCAAAATAATTTAATTACATTGTAAACTTGTGACGTATTTGAAACGACTTGACAAAATTCTTAAGATAACTGAGTCGAAAATATTAATCAAGTAAAACGGTATTTACATTATATTTACGATTTATAAAATTATTTATGTTAGTAACTAATTTGGTTTAATTTGAAATTTTTCACATTAACCTTGAGTAATTGGTGATTATTCTTAAAACTATTTAGAACTCCCATATCTTTTCGGTGAATTTAAATTAGTTCAAAACGTATAGTTTACCTCGAAAATGCACTTATGATGTACTTTATATTTCAACATAATTACTCATATTTACTTTTCCACTATACACCACTTAGTAATTAATAACCAATAATTGAACGATGGATAGTTTGTGACATTAAATTAAGTTAAAATATATAATATTAACGTAAATCATATATCTGCAAAAATACATAATATAAGTTAGGATTTATAAAGCAGATAGTATAACAAATAGTGTAAAAACAAATATTAATTTTAATTTGATATAAGTTGCCAGTTAAACTTGTAAAGACAAAAAATATCTAATAATAATTATTATAGTTATTAATTGATATAACTAATAAGGATAGTTAACTTAACATGAATACTCATAAAGGAGACATAATATATCAATTAGACTGAAAGCTTAACTCACAAGAAAATCAAATTTAATTTTAAAATCAATGGTAAATCATAAAAATTATCAATAGCAAGAAACTTATTGATAGCTGTCACTTTTTTCAAATATAAGAGCTCTTTCGGAACGAAAACGAATTTTAAGTTCTTTTTTTTTAGTATTTGTATAATATATAATGCACTAATATCATTTTTATAAACGTTTATAAAAATGTATAAACCTACGTTAAAATATATTAATAACACATAATATGTCTTCTTTATTCAATTCAAGTATTATTTTTTTCCAAAATCGTTTATAATAAAGCTAGTTTCATAATCAACATTGACCAATACCTTTTAATGTATGATAAAATCAATATAGTAACATGGTTATAATTTTATTTTTAAAATATGAATTAAGACATGTAGATTACATAAGATTTCATTAAATCATTTAATTCTTCTTAATAATGTAAACGATGACATTTTATATAATACAGAAAACATTTTTCAATTTAATTATTTGTTTTTGTTATAAAACATTTATTTAAATAAAGACCTTTTCTATTAAAAATAGAAATATGAGTAGGTAATTATTTTGTCTTTGTTATATTATTTTTATTAAAAAAATATATCATGCATATTAAATAAAAGTTTTAATAACAAATAAATATTCATTCAATTGCGTACATAATATAATACAAAAATAGCAAATAAGGTTTGATGTATAATTTTAAAGTAGTTTGAATTGTCGAAAGTGTAAAATTATATTTTTGAATTTTTTAAAGTGCGCATTTGTGTTACAGCAGTTCTTGTTGATATTTCTTCAATGTCAACTATATCAGCTACATAATTTATTTACATTATTTTTATATTTTATAAACGATAATTAGTTAGTAAACAACTAAGTAAACAAGCTAGTAAGTAAGTGAGCTAAAATAATTATTATAGCCAACGTGTTTAGAAAAGTAATGGGATACCCTTTATTGGATGTATATCTTAACCAGCCTCTAGAATAGAAGCTGTTTCCCTTTTTTTTTATCCTATAGTGATGCTTCTATTTTCCATGTGTAATTATAGATATTAAGTAAATGTTATACAGCTGGTGTACCTGAATTATGTATAAAGCATTAGGGAATTTTGTCAGGACCCGGACTTTTACTATTGAATTTCTTGAGAGTTTGTTCTTATTCTACTATAGTAATATGAAGTTTTAGATTTATCTAGTCTTGGTTCTTTAGGTCTACAGCAATATGCGTACCTACTTTCGTTCGAGGTCTTGACTTTTTTTATACGTTTTTCCTCGTATAATTTATCACTGAAGTTTTTATGATAGAATTTTCTTAATATTTCTGTTATTTCTGTCTGGTCAGTTATAGTGTTTTGGTTTATTTTTACGTAAATTTCGTTGTTTTGATTTGAGTCTTTTAGTGATTTAATTTTTTTCCAGACTTTAGATAGATTGTTTTTTTTAATTTATAGTGGATGTAAGAATGTTCGGTGATTTTTTTTTTTTATCGTTTTGTATTTGAAACAGTTCTGGCTTTCAGTTTTTTGATTCTGATGAAATGTCTGAGTTTTTTTTTAATAATTAATGCCTTGTTTTTATTGAAAGTTGCTTCTTTTAATTCTGTCTTTTCACCTGGGTACTCTGTTTTTTTTTCTTTATTCGATTAATTGAGCTTATAATTATTTTTGCAATTTCAATTATAAAATCTGTAAAAGTTTGTGTGGTTTCTTTTATGTCTGTGATATTAAATTTCAATATTTTTTTGTTTCTTTTTCTAATAAGCCAGTGCATTCTGGTATTAATATAAATTAATTGTAAATTAAATGAAATTAAAAAAAAATTAAATTAAATCTAAAGTATCATTCTAAATATCAATATAATCTGGGATTTTTAAATTCCATCTTTGTTTGAATATTTATTATTTACTTTTCTTGGTCAAGCTATATATTATTTTTGCAGTATAATTTGTGTATAATACTTGTACAGATATTTTAGATTATTTCGATATATTCGTTTATTTTAGATTTTTAGATATCAAAATATTTACCAAAAAATCATAATGCCTCTAGAATATTTATACATCATGTCATTCTTATTGTAATATACAAATCAAGTATTTTTATATAATTAAAATCTGAATAAAAATCAAATAAAAATTGATACTCATGAAATATTTTATAAACATTTTTATTTAAAATGATGTGGATAATCATTTATTATAATTTAATTTTATATATTATAAATTTTAATTTAATTTAATATAATTTCCCAATATATAAAAAAAAAAAAAAATCTCAAATATTAAAACATATAAATGTTATTAATATTGTAAATCGTATCGATGAAGCATATCACTTTTATTTGTACATTTCTAATTCAAAATATTGTTTATAAATCGTATTATCTATAATATTTTGAATAATCATTTATGTAAATCTCATGATACGAAATATTGACTAATTAGGTAAATTAAATAAATTTTAATAATTTTTGTTTTGTAATAATGCTTGTCTAATATATATATATATATAAAATTGTTTGCGAGGGAAATGAAATGTAATAGTTATTAATAAATTTGTTATTTTTATATAAATATTGAAAATATATTCCTATCTTTCTATGGTTTCAATCCATGGATTGGTTTAATATTTCTGTAAATACATTAAAATAACATTGGCTTTGAAGTATTAAAAAATATATTCATACATACATTGTAATAATTTCGAGTGTATTAAACATACATACGGTAGATGATTAATAATATTATGTTTTGTAAATAATATTATGTAAATTCTGAATGATTTATGTTTTTTAATCCATATTAGTAGTTTCCCTATTATGGCTTGTTGCTTTAAATCAATATTTTTAATTTTATTCTATAATTAAAAGCCATAATATATTACGATACCAACTCCATCTGTGCGTTCACAACCGTCAATCATTATTCATTAGCATAAAAAATTATTGATAGATTTTCATAATGATAATGTACTTTATTTCTAGTTTTCACACGTTAGCGAATTACCCATTGCATATAAATTTACCACCGTCGTTCGAACAAAAATTGAACATAATAGTATAATATGAAACAACATACATTACAATGATTAATAAATTGCTTAATCATTCTGAACCATTGTACTTGTGTGTATGTGATGGTCACCTATAAGTGCACATCTTGATCAACTTGAACCTAAGGTCAGATAACCGGAAACAAAACTCGTATACCACATCGAAACATTTGCACATTCTTTTCAGTCGATCGGCAATCATTATCCATTCCGTGCGCACATCTGTGTGTCTTATTTGCAACAACATGCTTTACAAGTCCAAATCGTTGGCATTTGGTATCTTGATATTTTTATACTTTTTACATAATTGTGAGTATAGAAATATTTTCTATTATTTATTTTCTTATTTATTTTTTTATTCTAATATAAAGATTTTTTTAATTTTTTTGTTTAACTACTAAACGCTAAAGTGAAAAGAGTGACTGCAATAAGTAATGAGTACTCATCGTCCATGTTATAATTATAAGCTTTAAAGATCTGCTATAAGATATATCATCATATCCCTGAAAATGAATTATTGAATTGATTTAAATTTGTACATTTTATTGTAGAATTTATAAAATATTTTTTTCAATTTTGAGAGCTAACTGTTTATACATATATATATACATATAAATTAATATTTACAGTGGTTTGATATTTTTAATAAAGTTAAATCTCATAAAATGTATTACCTGTTACAATTTTAAGTTTTCGGAACTAGAAAACCTATTGAAATAAAATAGAACTACAATTGTTAAATCTTAAACGAGAAGAAGACTTATTAAGAATAACAAAATTAAAAAGTAATATAACTTAAAGTTTTTCATAAATATATATACGTACTTCGAAAAATGTTTTGTTCCGTTCGAAGAATCATATTTTATAATTAATTGATTATGTATATACGATATTTTTAATAAATTGTAAATATTTCTTTGTGTAAATTCTGATAAATAATTAATATTACATTTAATAATAATAATAATAGTATTCTTTATTACGGAAAAAACATTCAAATTATAGTAACCTAAAATATGACAGTTTTTTTTTTACATGATAATCTGGTTTATATTTACAGGTTTAACAATATAAGGATTTATTTTAAACCAATACAATAAAATATTAATAACTTATAATAATATTTGTCTATTATAATAACTTTAGAATATCTAATATAGATTTAAGTTCAACATTTTTCAAATTTCAGTTTTATTTTTCAACAGTTCAAAATAGTTTTATTTATATTTTCCAATAAAAATGGGGATTATACAATGAAATTGTGTATGTCAAAAATTTTAATATGTTGTGAAGTTTTACTTTTTAATTTTAATTTTTTGTCTGTCAACAACATATCGACCAAAAAGAATACTCTGATCACCATTTCATTTTTTACTTCAATAGTTTATTAAACAAAGTTAGGGCATTTGGGACATAATTTTTTGAATTTACAAATACTTATAAAAAAAAAATGGACAAGGTTACAAGATATCAGTTTTTAGAAAAAATAATTTTTTTTCGTCTTAACTATAATAATAATAATCGTAGTGACTTAAAATTTTTACAGAATACTGAATCTTAATCTTAAATATTTAATGCAAAGTTTCGCATACATAATTCTTATTTGTATGAAAAAAAATAAAATATTTGATTAAATCGAACTCGATGTTTAATAATAAAATATTTTAAGTAGTGAGTATTTATTTATTGTACATTTATAAATACGTTATAATTAAAGAACAGATTTAATTTATATTGAAACTTTTTATTGATACCCAGTAAATCAAATTTGATCAAATATGTATACGAATCAGATTAATTACAGTCTTCCTATTTAATTTAATAATCCAATTTTTTGAAATTATTGCAATGTTTGTATACTTCACGTGATAAAATATACAAATTATTTTTTCCAAAGTGATTTTACAAAAAAAAATATAACTATGACGTAAATTTTTACATGTAGTTAAATGTAGCTTAGGATTTATAAAATGATATTTATCTAGATTATCCACAAAACTCACAAATTTAGAAGAATCAAATAGTCAATTACTTAATAGTTTAAACATATTTAGTATAAATACTAAACAAATATTAACTAAATAAAAATTATTAGTATAAATATTTCTATAAATATTCCCGGTTCTAATAGAAAAATAATTAAAGATAAATTAAAATATGTCTTAGAAAAAAATGAAGGATATAAAACTTTTAAAACTTACTTTGAGATTATAACAGGTAATAAAAATGTTTATTTAGATATAACACTCAATTCTTACACTATTTTAAATATGCATCGATGTGTCGACGTTGAATGTACTTTTTCATTATATAAACATATTTTAAGTAACAGACGTCACAATTTTCAAGAACACAATTTAGAGATATATATAATTATAAATTTTAATTCAGAAAAATAATATATTTTGTAAATATTATATAAATATCCATAATATTATTTAAGTAAGTAATTATTGATATTTGATATGATTTTACTATGTAATTTTAATATATTTCATTGCAATTTTAGCATATTTATACTGCAATTTTGATACATCTTCATTGCAATTTTGGCATCTTTTTATGCAATTTTAAGATATTTTTAATGCAATTATATCCGGTCTTAGTTATAATAAACTAAACCTTGCTGAAATAATTTTTTAACGCTGCGACAGTTGAACACTATAGTTTTTATTCAAAATATTCCGTCCTTAAAGATAAGTATAATTTAATTTTAACAAAATGTCGAGTTCGTGATACGATGAAACTATAGCATATTATTACATTGTATACAGTTACAGTTAAGTGTTGAATTCCGTTATTTTATGAAATATCTAGGTATTTCATGAATTACTAGCGAATGTTATTTATAATATGGTTATAAAAATTATACATTAACTAGTTATTTCATAAAATATTTAGTTATACTATACAATTTTTGTTTAATTTTTGTTACAGTATAGAATACTTTTAAATTTAAAATGTATTATAATATTTTATTTATTTGTGCATATATACATAGTATATATACTTTATGACAGGCTATTGTGACATTTAAGGTTGTACAATATCTCTTTTATTTCTACAAACATACCGCTTTGTATCACATTTTTGGTACAAGTGGATTTAAAGTAACGCTGATCAGTTCTCAGTTACAACAAAGTTGCCATAGATCTTAACGTAAAAATTTCATTTAAAACAAGTAAAATATATAAAAATAAAATATATAAATAAAAATATTGTATATATATGTATAGTTTAATACATAAACGGAGGAATCCTCGGCAATGAATAAGATAACTAGTTAAAGTATAAATCATAAACATTAGGTATAATCAAAACTTTAACTGTACAATATATATGTAGTTAGATTAGTGAAAAAATAAATAAATTTATTAATGTCGTTTCATAATTTGCATATTATGCAAATATAAACTTCTTTCAATGAAAAAAATAATAATAATAACCATTTTTTTTCTTTATATAATTTAATTTAAATTATTAATTAATTAACTAACCATAAAGCAATATTCGCATGACTATAAATAATATGAAACAGATATTTTTTTTATATTTATAAGTATTTGTTTATTTTAAGAACATTAGTTCCTGATGTAGACATTTAAATATATATGTAATAATTTATTGTTTTATCATTTTATAATTTAAATTTAGGTTTTCATTTAAAACTTTTTAATAATACAGCTTAAACAGTTATTTTTTAGGTATAGGATAAGTATGCAAATGCATTTAAATATATATGTATATATTTATATTTTTATTTGAAACATCCAATTAACAATCTGACAATACAAAATTAAATTTAACATCTCACTGGTCCTAATGGTATAATTTTTGTTTGAATAATTTTGCATAATTTTGGCAAATTATATATTTTGGAATATTCTAATGAAAACTTATTTATGAGGCGAACGATTGTAATAATCAACTTGAATAACATAAATAAATATATAGATATTCAATCAGTTCATAGATCTCAGTTAATTTTTTAATGTTTTCATTACAAATCATTAATTGTAAAGATCAAATATCACGCACATACTAACTGATATGTCCAAAGTGCAATTAAATTAATTTACAAATTAACAATATTCGATAAGATATATTATGTATATGAATTTAGTATCAATATGGTTATAACATTTACTTTGTGATACAGAATATTAATAAAATTAGTCCTTTTGGTAATATTAAACACAGTTTAGATAATTTTTCTAATAATCTAATTTTTATGGAATAATATTTAATTATACTTATCAGGTAGGCCGTGCTTAGATCTGGGTTGTATATATGGTTTAAATGTATAGTAAACATATTATTATTGAATATATTAGTTAACAATCAGATATACGAGGTGTTCTAATGTGTTTTCCCAATATGAATATTACTCGTATCTTTGTAAATCTAAACCTTTTTTTTTAAATATTTTATTTTATTGTTATATATTTTGTAGCTTGAAGTATAAAACTTCATAACAACCATTTTTCGAAAAAAGTTGTTATGAAAAGTTTAAAGAATTACAATTGAAAATCTAATAATTTGTTTCATTGTTGAGACTAAAGAAAGTTTTAAAAATAATGAACGCATAATTAGATGATTTATATCTCTTCCTGGTCATACTAATGGATTCATTGGCTTTACGCATTTGTACGACTTCACCGGAATCATTTACAATCATAGTGATGAATGAATGCCGGTAGACCTATTATAGCGTTGTTGAAAAAATTAAACAATTTTAACAAATTTATTACATTAAGAATTTTAATATGTTTTGCTCCTTTTCAAAACTTATATTAACTCACCATAAAACTTATTATTGCATTTTCAATTGTGTCATAAATGTTCACAATAACTTGTTTCATACAATTGCTATTTTACAATTCCATAGAAAGGAAGAATACAAGTAATATTTCTAAGCCGGTTAAAAAATGAAAACATTAATTTAAAATAATGTTTTTCATATATGATAAGATATCCTGTTACATAATTACTTTAGAACAAAAAAAAAATTAGAAAATAATTAATATTTACGGAAATATTTTCGCACCGGGAAAACACGCAACTTGCAAAATCTCGGTATTCTATAACTATAGTGTCTAGTCAATTTTAAAGATTATTTTGGATGTTTAAATTTTAAAGATTTTAGATGTTTATATTGTTTACTATATTTTGGAATTGTACAGAATGACATACAAGAAATTGGTAACATCTATAACTATAATAATATAATATGAAATGAACATGTACTGGTTTGTGGTCTTGTAAACTTATATAAATAAATTATTATTAATCATAACATATTTATGAATGTAACATACACCCATTAAATGTATAAATTAGGTAAAAACTTAAAAAAAATAAATAAATTAGTTATTAAAAACATAAATTGTGTTGTCTTGAAAACTTCAATTTAACAAAATAAATATAGTTTTCACCAAATTCTAGTACTAAGATATGAAATTCTCTCATATATTATATAGTAATATTAAGCATTTTCACTTAAAAAATCAATAAATCGAAAACGGTGGTTTTGAAAATACAAAATTATTGCTAGTAGCATTTCTTAATAACTATAAGTATTTACTTTTGACAGGCAATGGACAAGGACAAACACTGAGCTCTTCGTTTAGTAAAGTAGCGGGAGATGTTCAGGACAGGTGTAGAGCCATTGGTGAATGTGTAAAACAAAATGGAGCCAAAGTGGTCGATAAAACGGTTACAATAAGCAAAGCATCATTACATCATGGAGCCACAGCGTTGAACAGTAGCATAAAGTTTTCCAAAGAATCTTTAAATAAGATACCAGTACACTCTATAAGTGATATCATAACCAAAGCCAAATGTGTGATACCTAAGAATGCAGATAACATCCTAAGAGCTGCATTACTTCAACAATGTATCTCACCTAGTCTTGGTAAATTAATTATGAAAATATTAAGTATTATTATCTTACTATACATTATACTTGCGTGAATTAATATCTGACTTACAGGTATAGTTGAATTCTGGTAAGCAATATTATAATAAATATATTTTAAGATGTATTTGTATACATTACGTTCTAAATACATTTTTAATAATGAAAATTTACTCTAATATTTTACATACACTACTTGTATAAATTAAATAAGTAAAGTAAGTATATAAAAAAAAGTTGAAAATATTTTTTTACCAGAGTATTTCATATTTTTATAAACGCTTTTATTGAAGAGACATTAAAATAAATATTATCAACAAAAAATTTTTTCCACATATATATTTTTACTAAACCTTGAAAATCAAAAATCATAAAAATGCAATAACTGTCAATGGATTAAAATATAAGTTCTTTGTTTATTGTGAACCAGCGCCCTTAGTGTGATTAAATTCAATGAAATAATTTTAAAAACCTGAGAAAAAAAAACAAAATAATAAAATAATATTTGTAATAATAACAAATTAAATTAAAAGAAGAGTTCTCTATGTCTTCCAGAATACCATATATGATTTCAAATCTTATCTATTTACCCGCTCCAGATAATCGAATACGACAACTAACATTTTTTTATAACATATTTTATTTTATTTCATTCCAAAATATAGGTTTTGATAAACTATAACAAGTTATTTATTTATTTATTTTTTAAAATAATTTAAAAAGATAATATTATTTTTATATTATATTTTGAACCTATGTACAAATATTTAATTAAAAATAGTTTTATTTTTGCACCAGTTATTAAACGAGTTAATACATGTTCATGTAAACTTTTAAATTAAGTTAAATTAATTTTTTGTGCTTGATTAGTAACTAAATGCATAATCAGTTCCCATTGATTAAATTCTTAATTACTATTTGCTCTTAATTCGACAATACTAGCATACATTTAAATTAACGTTAAAATTTAATTATTTAGGTTTTGGGAATGAATCTAGATGCTTTAATGAACTTGGTTGTTTCCCTATGGGCTATCCTTGGACATCAAATCTAAGACCATTTCCACAACCAATGAAACCTGAAGAAATAAACGTACAACTTTACTTATACACTAGGTGAGTTTTTATTTTTGTTTATAAAAATACTGGTTATTAACTTAATAAGAGATAGGTGTATATAATAAATACATACTACTTACAAATACAATACAAACACATATTTATTTCAAACATAATACATTCAACTATACTCCTGTATAATATACAGGGAACAAAATACACCATACGATGTAAAATTATGGCCGAGTATATCAATAGAGAAATCGGACTTTAATCCGAACAGAGATTATACTGTTTTTATCATTCATGGATTTAATAGTGATGGAGGAAATACATGGATGTCTGATCTTAAAGATGCATACTTAAAACAAGTAAAACGAATTGTATTATAATAAATAAACAATATATTAACATGTTTATAACTTTAATAAATAAAGATCATCTATTTTTGAGTAAATTTCAATTTCAAAAATACATTAATTATCTGGAAAATTGAAACATATATATTTTATAAGTTTTATTGTTTTATTTTATATACAAAAGGGTATACATTTTATCACAGTAATAAATTTTTATACAACGAGTATTATAATTGTATTAGATGATTTATTTAACGCAAGGCATAATATGCCACTAGTCAATGTGAATACGCTATAAGTGGTTCACATGAAAAAAATTGTTCAATACATGAAGAATCAACCTTATGTATAATAACGTTTTATATACGTTAACATTTTGATAGATACTTATCATTTAGGTTTTCATACCAGTAAAATTGTTAATAGGAGTTACAAAAGGTCGAATAAAAAATATATTATAAATGTAAACTTTATTTATTTTAAAAAAATGTTAATAATATTCTATGTTAAGACATTTAATTTGATTTTGTATTACGAGTATATAGTTGTATTTAATATTTGTTTCTTTAATTTAAAAGTAATAAAACATTCAGTTCTCTGTATCAAAAATTTTCGAGGGGACGTAGAGATTAAACGTCTTGGAATATTAATGATACATTATATAAACAAATAATTTTTAAAATTTCAGAAAATGTCCGGGTTAATCACCTGACTCGTACGAAAAAAACGTTGACTATAATTTTAAAATACATAAAATTATGAAATTATATAGTTCAATTGAAATATAAAATCTATTCATAAAAACTGATAGTTAATTTATAAACAAATATAAGTAAAGTATACGAAAATCCGTAATGCAATAAAATAGATTCGTAAATGTAAAATCAATAGTCTCTTGACTTGTATCTTACTTTATAGCTTAAAATATTAAGTACATAATTACCATAAATATGTATTGAGTAAATACATGACTGTTTTTAATGACAGTTTGATAATACTTAATGTAATATTAATGTATGCATAAATATATAATGTTTTTTAGCGTGACGCAAATGTATTCTTAGTTGACTGGGGACAAGGATCAAAGCAATTTAATTATTTACAAGTAGCTTCGAACACAAGGGTGGTTGCCGCTGAATTAATTAGGTAATAATATAAAAATTGAATTTTTATAATATACACATATATAATATATCAAATATGATATAGGTATTACATGGAATTTAACATGTTTAAGTATAAAACTAACTGAAAAAATTTATTTAATATTTCAATAGTTATTATTTTCATTGTTAACACCAACGCTTTACTTATGGTTTCAAAATTTAAGTATCAATACCATTGATTGATGAGTAATAATTTACAACAGTATAGCATGTTATTTTCTGATCAGATTATATAATTGGATACTTTAAAATATCTCAGAACAAATGTTTTCAATAAAAACAATTTAACAATTGAATTCGTGTTCATTTTAGATTTGGGAAATATATTATTGACGATTATCAATTGAACCCGCTGAACGTTCACTTAATGGGCCATAGTTTGGGAGCCCATATATCTTCATATTTTGCTAAAGGTATTCCCGGTTTCGGTCGACTAACGGCATTCGACCCTGCTCAGCCCGGATTTGAAGGTTGTCCGAAGGAGGTGCGACTAGATAAATCAGATGCTAATTTTGTTGACGTTATACACACAAGTTGTAGACCCACAGTTCCGCTTTTGGGTTTCGGGCTCATCGCTCCCGTGGGTAATTATAGTAATTTTTAAAAATTGCTTTTGCAGTATAATTATATTTATAAACTATAATTTTATTTATTTATCTGTAAATAGGTCACGTTGATATATATATGAATGGTGGTATTATTCAGCCAGGCTGCACTGTACCTCCAATAGCCGAAGTTAAACTAACGAGCATTTCTGATTTAGCTGTTATTCCGGCTGATGGTAAAAATTATAATCAATCATAATTTAACTAATTATTTGATAACTGTAGAGATACTTAACATATCATTAATAAGCTGGTCTAATTGAAAATTCAACTACAGAATTCCTGTTAAAAAAATAAATATCTAGACTCAGCAAACAAAAGTTACATTTTTTAACTGTAATCTGATAGTATAGAAATATACGGGTATACCTATATCATTATCGTTAAAACATATAATACTTAATAGAACGTAAGAGGTAAAAAATATTTTATAATAATTAATAATTTAATGATTGTAATACACAATAATACATGAGTCATCAAGATTTTGATAGATATTAGTAATTGTTTTTTTTTTTTTTTTACTAATGCCCTGCTCTTTGATAAAATTATGTCATAGTGATACATTGACTGTTTTAGGAGGAAGGGTCCAGGATGTATGACTTCCCCAGGTCACACGTTTAGGTTGTAATATATTGTATTTTATATTTTATTATTTTGCCTTTAATTGAATGCTATGCTATGTTTTTTTTTTTTGTTAGTGTAAGAATTACATTTTAAGACTTTAAGTAATAAGTTATTAATGGGTTAAACATTTTTGCCTTCATACATTATAAGATAATATAAAGGGACTCCTCCCCCAGAAAAAATTGAAAAAACCGCCATTTTAGTGATATATATTTATATTATTTTTCGTTCCTTTAATACTTAGAGTTTTTCGCTTACATTACAGCTAACATGAATATTTATTAAATATATAGAAAAAATATTATATAAATGTAGTATAAGAAATTCTCGGTAATTTTATTATAAAATAAGCTTTTAGTATTCAAATTATTTTTATAAAAAATATTTCTTATTGTGTCAAAAGATCTTTTTAATAGGTTTGATTAAAAATGTTCTAAAAAAGTATTTACAGAAATATATTAATGAAAGTCAATTGGCTTCAATAGTTATCAGTAAATATCAATAGTTTTTGTTTTTTTGATCATTGTATAAAATTAATTCCATTAAATAAATACCAAATTAATAAATACAATACTATAATACTATAATACTCATAAGTGCATCTGACATAAATTAATTGTTGATTTAGAGAATAGTCACGTTTTTTCTTGTTTTTTTCATTATATTAAGAAATTATAGTGAATTTTTATTATACTTGTATCATACAAATTATATTTCTATCATTATTCTGATCAGTATAATATTAGAAATGTTTTTTGAAGTTATCATTTTCTTTGGCGTGACTTTCTTTTATTAATGAATAAGTAAATACTATATTTTATATTTACTATAAATAATATTAACTATATGTATTTATCAATATAACACACCGAAAGAAAAATACCCAGTTAAAAAAATGAAATACTAAATAAAACAGAAAATTAATTTTGACGTTGAAAATCCGTAGAGCATAATTTAATTGTTTTTATTATCATAGACAGCCAAGATAATTCATTTATTCAAAATTTAGTATTACTCCTATAAATAACTCCCTTTGGATTTTACATATCTACATAAACATTATATTTTTTATTTTATTTGTTGGATGTTCATACAAATTACAGATACTATACCAACTATATTTGATTGCATTTTCAAAATTATTTAATATTTAATTTTAATTAATTTTACATAGTTAAAGGAGAGTTTCCATTCACAATTAGATTTAATTAAGTATTTTTTTATGCGTTATTTATATTAAATTGAATACAAGTATAAACACTTATATTATTGCATGGTACGTTTGATTTCCATAGTAAATTACATAAAATTTTAGCCTAATTTTTATGTTTGAATAATGATATTTAAATTCATTCACATCGTGTTATGAATTATTGTTTTAAATTGGTACAAATTTATATTTTTTTTTTATTAAAAGATATTTACAATCTATTAACTAAAACATTAAGAAAGTAGGATACAAGTATACATACATATTTTACACCTGATGATTAATTTATGAAGTAAATTGTTCACTATTAACATCTCAAAAAGGTAGAAATCTTTAAATAACTTTTAATATAGAAAGTATAATTAATTATATTATCAGTATGTCATCAGAAAATTATTCTGATCGTATTGTTTTTTGTTCTATCTAGTTTAGATTTTAATATAGTTTTCTAATACTTACTCTTAAAAATATATCACAATTAATACGAATTCACTAAGAGATTTTAATTTAAAATTTATAACGTTATAAATAGGGAATTATTCATGTATAATATATATTTTGATAATTCATAAAACAATCTAAGTTTTAAGTTGATTAAATGTAAAACAAATTTATGTTGTGAAATTAATTAAAATTGAATAGGTACACTAATCAACAATTTACAAAAAACATGACACAAATTACTAGATTTATATAAAATATTATGTTGTGTAATAAAATTATACTACTTATATTTTTCAGTACTAGGAAATTGGGTAGCTTGTTCACATGGACGATCGTTTTCATATTTCACCGAATCGCTGAACGACAACTGTACTTTCTGGGCTCAGAAAATAAAAGCATTAACAGCCATTACCAAGTATATTCATTAAATTTTAAAATTTTCATAAAATTAAATAATTTTGTATCCATAGTGTTGTGTCCATTGGTCAACTTCAACCACTTTTAATAAAGATTGACAAATGCAAGTTTAATGAATGTGTACCGCTGGGATTAAACACTGACCAATATCCAGGAAGAGGCATGTTTAGCGCTGGGACTGCATTTTTTGAACCTTATTGCAGTAAGTATAATTACACAACATTTTATCTCATAAATATATATTACACTATATAATCATAGTTAATTCAATATTTTTAAAATTTTGGATATTTGTATGTATTCGGTACATTATAAATTAACTATAAATATTCAACCATACTAATACTTTCACAATAAGATTGATTAAAAAGTCCTACAGAAATGCAACAGTTTATATAATTTTATTTGATTGAATTATAATAACAGTGAAAATGATTGTTAATGCATGTATATAATAAAATTATCTAGGTTTTGTTTCAAGCCCGAGTGAATAATATTTGAAGAAAACAAAATAATATATTGTAGACAAATAGTAATAATAAAATTTCATAATTTTTACGTATTTTCTTGGTTTGATCATATAACTCATGAATAATAAATCAAAGATAATAATTACGATACAAGAATTTATGATTAAAAAGTTATTCTATTTCATTTAAAAAGTGTATTATTTTTATAACAGGGAATAATACACGATTTAAACGTTATCACTTTCTAGGATGATATAAATGTAAAATATTGAATAACAAATTGTATTTGAAATTTTATTTTTTTTTAAATAAAACTATAAAATATTAGGTCAAATTATTTAAATTATTTTATTCACAAAATTAATATAACTTTGATCGAAAATGAATGCGAAATATGTATTTAAATAAAAATTTAAAAATATTGTTTTTATACAAAAATATTACGAACAAAAATAATTATTTAAATAAACATTAGCCCTGATACCCTGTCAATTTAATAGAGCTATATTTAGTTTTTCATTAAGGTAGAATATAAAGAAGTTGATATGATATATAAAAGTATGCCTTAAATATGTATATTTAAATTTTAAAGAAGGAATAATTATTCCATTTTAAAATATCTTTGAGCGAATATAATTAGACACTTTATGTGTACGCAAAATATTAATATAACGTTTTAGTTCTGAAAAATTTAAACCTTAAAACATTTAACTTTATTTAGTAAAGAATATATTAGAATATATTATATACTGTAATACATACAGGTAAGCCTTTATAACAATAATTCAATATCAATATAAATATATATTTCTTATTTCTATTAGAAATAAATATTATTACAATATATTAATACTTTTTACAATGATTAATTTGTCAAAGATTTAAAAATTACCAGGATGATAATAGAGTAGTATATTTTTAAATTGAAAGTCACCCATTTTATCAAGAATTTAATTATTTTTAATCATAAGAACACTGGTTAGTTTCAAAAAAATTAAATAAAAAAGAAAACTAATAACTAATACCTAATATGACTGTTTTTGAAGTAGAATAATAAATAACTTATTTGCTATACTAAAAATTTAAGAGTATTAAATAATTTTACTAGCTTAATTACCCGGATTCGCATGGAACAATCTTAGCCGTGACATAGGTTTTATTACTTTACACTATTTAAAGCCAAATTCGGTGTAACTATTGGTGGTTATAAAACAAATAAAATGAAAGTTCAAATGAATCAGTAAAGTAATTTTTGTGATACCTCTGAATTACCGTATTTGCTGGTTCCAATATTTTTTTAAAATCCCTTCTTATTGCACGTTTTGTATATTGGAGAAACCACCATATCAAATTTCAAGTTCATATAGTTTTGAGATGTAGTGATGATCAATAAGTGAGTTATACCTGACGTTGTCCGTTGAGAAAATTTTGAGTGTTCAATTCTTTTTGGGTATTACCGTTAAACCTATACCTTCTTACTTTGGATTATTATTTTTTTATTTATTCATTTTATTGAGAAAAGTCTGACAGTTTGAGATTCCAAATAAATGCTATTTATTAAAGTGTATGTGGATTATACAATATTTTTTATTTTTCTTTTTGTGGTGTGTACATAATTTGACACGTGAGTAGGCCACACACAGTTATCCATATGAGAAGCATAAATTTTCAAAATTCAGTCCATACACTTGTTTTAATTGTCCTTGTAATTTGTTAATGATCGTTGAAAAAGCGAGTCGCACTGACAACTGCAAAAGTTTGAATTCCAATGGCTTATCTGTTGGAGCCATTGGGATGCGTGGTAATAGTACATCTTCACCTTTAAATTTTCCGTTTTAAATTATGACTTCGATTATGTTGTTATACAGTTTAATAATTTACATAATTAAATTATTAAAATCAACATATTAAACAAATCAAATATTTCCTTGGTAACCAAAAATTGAAAAATGTATGCATCTAGTCCAAAACAGTGTCGACCTTTAAATATGCGATTTTCGAAAAATCCTTTCTTATTACACAATATTCCAAATTTAAAATCCGTACGTTGCGTAGTTTTTGAGATACAGCGATCAGTTAGTCAGTGGTATTTGGATTTTATATGTATAGATTTAAAAGATCAGTCGTTAATTTCAAGTATAAGATCTATTTTTAGATTATTATTCATACTATTTCTTTAATTACCTAATTTACAGATTTATATAGTATTACAAATTCAATAATTTATATTTAAATAAAAAATATATTGAAATGAATGGTTAAGATTGTATAAATTGCAAAATAACAACTACTTTACATTGTTTTTGTGTGTTTATCAATAGAGAGCAATTTGGAAACAGATCGGTTTATGCGTAATGAATTCAGAAGTTTAAAAGAAAAAAGCCTTTTATGAAGTAAGTAAAATATCAAATAAGTTATACATAGCAAAAAAGTAAAATTTAAATAGAGAAAACCACTCATTAAAAAATAACTACGATAAATGTATATTATTAACATTGACAAATTATTTCAGTATAAAAGTAAGACACTAAATATTACATTATTTATTTACCATAAAATGTAACAATATTTTTTTTTTTTATTCAAAATAAATATTTCAAACATTGTTATAATATCCGTAGTGTAAAGAGGATTTATTTAATTATAAATCAATATATATGTTGTTAAATAAAATTATTAAAAAGTTTTGAATCCTTTCATATCTGATAACATATTTACCATAAAATGAACCAATACTTTTTTTTTTTTTATTCAAAATAAATATTTCAAAAATTTTTATAATATCCGTAGTGTAAAGAGGATTTATTTAATTATAAATCAATATATATGTTGTTAAATAAAATTATTAAAAAGTTTTGAATCCCTTCATATTTGATAACCTACAATAATATAAAATCAAATAGAAATATAAATATAAATAACATATTAAAATTATATTCCATGCTAAGCATTTATTTATTTATTTCTATGTAATAAACTATTTGTTCGTTTGTTTATATATTAATATAAAATCAATGAACTATATGTGCACACGGTGATTTAGCAACCATTCAGGCACCAATGAAAAATAAAATCATAAGTTACATATTATCGACGATTGAGTATTTCGAAGAATACGCAATAATGTCTAAATGTTTTGATTTAAATTGTTTAATATGTTTTCATTTAGTTCAAACGATTTGTAGAAAAACGTACGATGTGCATAATATTTTGTACTCAAAACCTAATTGACATATTAACCATTGAGTTGCATGGATTTTCTCAAATATGCTTCGATCAATTTAGAAAAAATATGATTATATCGTCTGAAAATATGAAATATTGGTTTAAAAAAATGTTGATTTTATAAAATGAAAATTTTTAAAGAACTATAAATACTTAACAAACTAGTTTTATTTTTTTTTTTCGAATATTTTTATTGTCTAATGTATCAAGACTGACATTAAAAATGTGAGATTTTAGTTTGAATATTAAAATTGTGTAATATTATATTATAAAATTATAACGATAATATATTTTAAAAACCTATTCACATCTAACGAATATCCAAAATATACTTTTGAGTGTACACTTAATGCTAGTACAGTGTATATATATTAGGACATATTTGGTAAAAAAAAAAAAAAAAAAAACTATAGAATTCTAATCAAACTAATTTTGTCATTATTTATTTTTATAATTTGTCTTAAAACTATTGTATATTTGAGAAAATTAATTGTTAATCGATGTTCTATTAAGAACATAGGATTAATATAAAACTTAAGAAATATAAGATAACAATATAAGTGAATTTAAAGGTTATTTACAAGTATAATATTTAAGTAAAAGATCACAAGTTGCAATCATATTGTCTTTTACTCCTACTAAATTTATCGGTTTTAATAATATAATTGTTAGGCATCGAATTTCAATGAATTTACATATTTATTTTTGTATTCGACATATAATGTATAATTTAAAATAAGCACAAACTAATCAGTAATTACAATTATTTTGATTTCATTTTTGATATATTTTTATAAGGCATTTAGTTTTAATTTATATATAGGTATTTTTTTTCTAGAAACATAAATATATTTGCTTTATTTTTAATTTAATTTTGTTGAAATTGTATTTTATTATATTTTGGTAAAAAAAAAACATAATGCATTTTAGATATTAATAAATAATATTTCCTTAAAGGTTTATAATTACCAGCTATAAAAATATGTTATATTTGCGCAGATTTTATTTTTTTAAAATGTTTTCATTTTGTGTTCATCAAAAAGAATAAATACATTTTTTTTTGTGTATTTTTTTTAAAAATATTTAGAATATAAATAAAAATTTAATAACCATATATTTTTTATTGAAAACCATTCCTTAGATATACATTGTAGTCTTACAATAGCGAAAAATACAGCTACAACAGAAACAATTTTTAATGACATTGAAGAAACTTGTAAACATTTTTCGTACGGATAAGCGAATTGACCGTCGTTTACCGTAGTATCAATGTGATCAAACGTGATCAAAAGTGACAATAAGAATGGCGTTTTTATTAATGATTACTACTATTTGATTTTTGCTTCATAGTTTATTGAAAATTCAGTATAAATATAGAAATTTCATAAGAATAATTTGCCTTTTTAGATACCTATTTTTCTAAATAAATCGTATATTTTTTCAAATAATTTATATTGTGTATATTAAAAAAAAAAATTATACAATATTGTATTTTGGAGTATAGTGTTTATTGATCGGTAATATTTATTGTTTTTTTTTTTTTGTATAGAAATCAGGTGACATTGTTATTTTTGATCTTTATCATTAGCTTTTTAAAATAAGTGACGATAACAATGCAACGAAATATTTGTTTTAGTAAATAATATTCAAGATAATGGACAGCCAAGAGGAATAAGTTGAAACAAGCGATTTATTAATGAATAGAAAAAGCTAAGTTTATTAAAAAGTAATTAACAGAGAAATAGCCGGAAAATCTGCTCTTTAAACATCAAATAGGCGGTATCCTTTATCAACAAAATATATTTTTAAAATACGTCTGATTCACCTATTTGGCAAGTAATCAATAAAGTTCATTTATAAAATTCACCTTAATTCTGCTGAAAGGGATCGTTCTTATAATATATTTTTTAAATTAAAATATGGAAATATTTAAACTGGACATAAATCGAAAAATTAATAAATTTTAATAATATTTTTATTTGAAAAAATATATATATTGTTAAGAAATATATTTTATATAATAAACCCACTTCTTTAAATTAATATTTCACTGTTGATAAGTTTATAATGTGTTCATATGCAGATATATTTCAAGTAAGATGAAATTACTTGTCAAAATATTTTTAGTTTAATTGTATATTGATTTATTGCTTATTTTATATTATCGGTGACCAGCAATTTGTTAAACTTTTCTAAAAATATTATGTATATATAACTATTTTTATGTTAAAATAATATGGTTTTTTCAATTGATTAATTATATACTTATATTATATTTTTAATCAATATGAACTTGCATTCTGTATTATTTAAACTAACATTTATAATATAACAATATAATTAATGGTATGTTAACTCACTATGATACACATTTTTTTGTTACATAAACATAAAATGAATCAGCCATCACAATAATGATTCGTTTTAGTTTCACTATATTTACTTAACTTTATACGCATTCTTCTAAAAAGTAGAATTGTATCATTTTTCTTTTAGTAAATACCTGCTTTTGAAATAATTTAATGAGATGAATAATGGCTATTATTTCATAGCAAAAACAAGAACAGAAAATTATTTTCAGTTTTTTTGTATTTATTAATCAAAATTATGATGAAAAAAAAATTAAAACAAAAGTTTTTGATATATTTTGATAACAGTTTATTATGCTTATAATTTATTCAAACGCACACATTATATTATGATCTATAGAAAATTAAGAAAACAGAACTATATGCTATGTTGAAATCAAATAATAACACAAGTTTTGCGCATTGCATCAAAATTAAAAGTGCTAAGAAAAATCAACTTGGTGTAGAATGTTATTAGCTATATATTATTTAACTGTCTATTACAATGTGAGATTATTATAATTAATATAATGGAATGTTTTTATTTATTTATCAATTATTATACTAATAATATTTATTCTTGTATTTAATATTATTAATTTATAATATCTTATGTATTACTGTATACAATTAACTTACATAATATGTTTTATATTATTTTTAAACATAAAATTTAATTTATTTACATATTAAACATACATATTTGTTAAGATATTTTTATAATACTTTCATATATATATATTTATTTATTTTAGTATAATATTTATAATATGTGTTTATAATAATATATTGGTAAACATCCATTTTTGTTAACTCATTTATTTTACATTCAATTCATAATATTATAAAATAACTATAGCCAAGTTTCATAAACCTCTATCGTAATATATTCTGGTAATATTATCATTTTTTCTTATTAAATATTTACTAATTCTTATATCATAATATTTTAGATATATTAAATTCACCACATGATATCATAAAATGTGTATTAAATTTTTAATTGAAAAAAAAAATACAGTGGAAAAAGTTTCTGAAAATTAATAAAAAAAAATGTACAATGCAACTTAATATTATATAATGAATGTAATGAGATAAGCTTTATTTTCTTTGCATTTAAAATTGTTCCTTAAACAATTTAACTATAATTTATTCAATAAATATAGACAACGTATATTCGTCACACATCCAACTTGATGTTATTGAAAAGTAAACATTTATCATTGACAATTCAACATTATACGATTTTAAATTCGGAACAATCCTTTTAATCTTTATTTTATTAAATTAAGAATATGAATAGGATTCCTAACTACTGATAATTTCCGCAATCAAATTCGTGTTTTAAAATTGATTAAGTCTCGTCGCAGTTTAACCGCCAGAGAGCACCTCTTCAAACGCGAGGAAAAGGGGTTTTTACAAACCCCTTGTACGTCACGTGCTCAAATACCAACAGTAGTACTAGCATCTGGTCCCACCACTGTGGTTTATCTTAGCTCTTGATCGCTATGAGGTTTTTTACATGGTTTCCGCCGTTATTGTTTCCAGGTGAGTACATATACTAAATACTAAAAAATATTATGACTGTTGATATATTATCCCAATGTAAAATCTTCAATAAATAAATATTATTTTGACAATTAAAACGTATTCATAAAGTGATAATTTAACAATGCAAGCAATTTAGATAAAACTTAAATTGCCGGTTGATACAGTTATAGTAGTATAATGGACACTAAAATATTTTAAATAATAATTTCGCATATAAATAATTTTTGAAATAAAAATTATTTTTATTAATTTTTCTTGTTTAATTGACTTCTCATTTATAAATTCACCAATATAATTTTTATTTTCAATTGTTTCAATTTATTTTGTTAGGCTATAATTTTGTATCGTCATTCTCTTGATTTAATACTATTTATTTCCTAAACCGATACGTTTACAAATATATTTACGAATAAAATGTTAAGACATTTATTTGTTATTTAACGCTTCTATATAGAAATAATATTTTTCAAATTTATAAAGTCCTAGCAATATTATATTAGTAATTAAGAATATCTTAATGATCATTAATTTTATTTTAATAATATGTAATAAAAAATGTGATACGAAAGAAGAGGTTAATTTGAAAAAATGTATATCTCAGTTATTAAATAATATAGTTACAATAATTGTAAAACATATTTTTTATTATAAAGTGACAATTTTGGTCGCTTTTAACATAAATCCTGTATATAATGTTATCCTGAAACAGTATCTTTAATCTTAATTGCAAACAAGAAAATGTTTATTTTACGAGTACTTTAATACATACAATATATAAAAACCGTATAAATTATAATAAACATAATAGTTCAATAAAGATAGTAGAGAATATTTATTGTGCCATTGTTTAACGAACGCATTACATTAGGAATTAAAAAATTATAAAAACTCTAACACGCATGTAAAAAAAATTATTGATGTGTTCTATAGTGTTATGAATAGGAAAAAGTTAAAAATGTAAAAGAGTTTTGTGTTCCGAATTCTATTATGCCCACAAAGATAAAAAAAAACAATTTCATCATTCGTATGTTTTGTGTAAAAAATAACGTCAAAAAAAACAAACAAGTGTAACAAACTATTGTTTATGTTGTTTTTATATTAATTGTATTAATTATATAAACGGCAAGACTCCTGTTCCTATACATTTTTCTGGAAATAATCTTAATTGTACAATATTTGAACATTTATGTATAATTCTTACAATAAATATAAAATACGAAATTGGGAACAATTTTGTTTTATAATATAATTAAAAAAACATGCTGGTATGTGAATAAAAAACTGCGAATTTAAAATAAAATAGAATTTATTATTTCGTAACGATTTCGAAATGTCATGATTCGACAGTATTACTTATTTAAACATTTTAAGCGATTATGGTTTAAATTCTGTACCGTCAATACAAGTACAGATGTATTTGAAATACTTCCATCATGATTAAATTTCCTTATTATGCGTTCACAAATAATTTTCCTTCATTAACTTTAAATCCAATCACCGTTTACTGCTTCTATACGTTTTGTTTTAAACAAATCGTTGGCAATTTTTTGCATCCGATTACATGAATGTATCTAAATTACCTATTCATCACGCCGTGTTGGGACTTTACCAAAATAATAGAGAAACACGTAGGTTTGCGAAAAAGGTGATTAAAACGGTCGGATTTAACAGCGTTTTAATTTGCGGATACGAAGCCGAGAAACCTTTGAAATTAACCCAGAACATAATATTGATTTTCAATTTATTAACTGTTTTAGATCATGCATCATTAGATTGAAAGTTGCATAGGACAAACCCTTTTTCTTTTTGTATAGTCAATATACCATCAAAATGATAATAAAAAATATATAAACTTAAAATTATTTCCAAGTATAGTAAATATCACTTTAGATAATGACAGTACATATATATATTTTGAAAAATGATTTTTTTAGTCCAAAATAATTTTTTTTTTTAGAGTTATCTTTAAGTAAAAAAAGAAAATTCGCTGATTTTAATACTATACACAATGTATATAATTATATTACACCTTTATAGTTTTTAATTCTTATTACATTTAAACACGATTTTAAGTGCAGTTGAATGTCACAATGCCAATGAGTAATTTTCTCTTAAAATTAATAGTATTGGTACGCCATTTTAACTTACACTAGCACCAACAATTTAATGTTTGAAAACATATAAATGTACACCTAAGTTTAATCTTTTCATCTTTATTTTTTATCCAATTACACTGTTGACGTTTTTTCTATAATTATCAAAAGTTATCGATTAGAAAAAAATAGGAAACTTATTTAAAATTAAATAGTTTATGACTGTATAGTATTTACAGTATATGGTAACTAATACCGGTATTATGAATTTTAATTAAGTTATATAATAGGTTAGGTTACATGTTTCTTAAATATTTTTTTAGGCACTTATAGAAAAAAATAATCTAACCTATAGAAACCCGCTCGTGACGCCTCTAAACCTGTGCTTCCTTATCCCGCCATGGATCGAATGCATCGCGCCACTACTCCGGTGCCACAGGCACCGCTTCAAAGACTTATCAGGGAAAGGGTATTTCAAATATGAACTGATAATAGCAGTTTCCCCGAATTAGTACTGAAACACAGAGTCCGACTACGTTCCTATATTATGATACACACCTAATATTAATGTCATGATATGATTTTTAAACCGAAGTAAAATTGTTAGGTAGGTATCTAATTAAATACTTACAGTTAACAAGAACAAAAATGGATTGAAATATTCAAATTTTTTAAATGTATGGGGGACATGGTCCCGGCCCGCCCCTATTTGGAGCCATGCCTGCGGTGCCGGCGGCCGCTCCGATGTTTCCGCTTGTCCGTTTGATCCGTCGCTACGTGCACCGTACACCGTTCATCGACGTCGCGCCGGCGATTCAGTTTGCGATCGACATCTTCGACCGATCGTTTGACCGATTTTTTTAGTCCGTCGTGTACGGTCATGTAACACCTCTTCGAGGCAACTAATTGTGCCAGAAGACACGACCCCTTCGTGCACGTCCGTTTCATCTCTGTTCGTGTGCCGTTCTCGGAGTGGCGCTCCGTTTTTTTTTCGCTACTTTCGCCGGTGGCAATTGTTCAAGCGACATAGCTGCACCACTACGGTTTAACGCGAGCGTTAATATTTTTATAGCGTCCGACAAACTTCCCAGATTAGATTCTAGTTTATGGACCGAATTTTATAGATTTTAATAAATCATGCACAAGACTGGCAGAACGATGAATAACACACGCTTTATCATTATCATGTAAAAATTATTTGTTGTAATGGATCAAACGGTACAATTGATATTCGGTTTTAAATATTCACGTTAAAAATATATTTAATATTTAAAAGTATCGCTTATTTATATTATTATATTTATTTGATATCAAATCTAATGATAAGTTTTTTCGATTTTTAGTGCAGATCTATTACAGAAAAACGTATTTACGACAAATCATAAAATCTTTAATAACGTAAATGTTGTGTAAAAATAAATATTAACTCAAATATTTTCGATACACTCAAGGTGGTCAACTATGATATTCTGATGGAAATATCTCTGTAGACATTTTATGTTATTTTTAACAGTAAGTACATTTTATTAGAAGAGTGTCGCATTAAAGTTTTAATACTTATGGAAAGTATTTGTATTTCCTTTTCATTTCTTGACAGAACAAATAAAAATTACATTTATTTTTTATTTTTTTTTGTTTTGACTGACAAATTAGCAATTTTTTAATAGGTACACGTTGTTACAAGTATCACAATTGAAAACTAAATAAGTGATTCCGGTATCTTTATTAGCTAATTAATAAATAAATATAAATTGAATAACTTTATCAGCAAAAATAATATTATATTTGCCAAACAATCATTAATTAGTGTGATAGTACATTTAGTTTAGTCGTATCAATACCTAGGTACATTGATAATCATAGAAAAATAACTGTTTAACCAACCAATAAAACTACCGATTACGGATATCCAGATATAACTTACATTAATATAGCTTTAAGTATCAAGTCAATAATTCGACTTAAAATTGTGATAATTTGACATTTTCATGACAATTTACACTAAAAAATGGCTACTTTAAAACTGTATAGGATTTAAAATTTAAAAAACTTTTATTCCCGGCTGATTACAAGCTGAAATACTAATTTAATTATTGTAATTTAATGTGATTCTCTTATATTGACTGTGCGGAAACAAAATAATTAAAAACTGGAATGTTAGATGACCTCGTAAATTATTGGATTTTTATATTATAAAAAAGTTAGTATAATTGTAATTATTAAAAATGTGTTTTTCATAAGACATTCTTTATTTTTTTTTTATGAAACATACATATTCCATCATAAAACTTTAAACAGAAAATAAATGTAAAATCATTAATCATACATCACTTTGATACTTAGATGATGAATTTTTTTTCCCCTTTTACATGATAAAGTACAACAAGCCTTCTAATGGCATAAAAGATATAAGAAAAGAATGTATTTAATGTAAAAAATGACCAGTGTTTCAAAAATATGGTCTTATTAGGTTCAAACCCATTAACCTTCATAAAAAATTACCATATATATCTTTAAGAATGTATAAATATCAAGTGCTTAATTTTTTTTTTTTTTTAGAGTTTATATGATTTGTGTATTCCCGTATTTTTACCCAGAGTTAAAACTAAAAAATAATAATCACTTCGAAGTTGAATTAAATTATTTGTATTTAATAAATTTAAAATCTAAATTTTAATTTAACGCCACAATAAAATATAAATATTTACTATAATTTACTTTAACGGTAATGAAATAAAATAGTTATATCATCAATAAATATGTTTATAAAAAATATTTATTCAGTGTATATTATTTTAGATAAAGTCATTTGAAAACCAGAACGTAATATTCATACTTTATAGAATTCTATAATAGAGATCTTCTTCTTATAATATAAAATATATATATATATATATATATATA